GGGGGGGGGGGGGAAGAGCACACTTGGAATTCACTGAGCCATATAAGATATACAAATTAAACTAACACTATTCTAGTATCAGTAGCCTGAATCTCCAAAATTGCTGCACTCATTTATTGTAGGTTTACTCCAAATGATTAGTTCCACATTCCATAAGTGCAAAGAAAGAGGGAGGAGTAGGCTGTGAGAGCTCAGAATTTGAGAAGGTAATTTGCTTTAATGATCAGATAGCTCCAGGGTTTTCCTAGGAACCAACTATTCCAGGTAATGAATTCATGATAACTGTCATGAATACAGAAACAATTCCTGCCCAGTTAAAACTCTCGATTCATTACCACGAATATAGAAACAATAGTACACAAACTACAGCAACTGCACTGTACCGTTGCTACTGTAGATTAAACAAGGGATTTAACTGGGCATGACCCATGGTTTCTATATTTGTGACGGTTATCATTAATCTATTACCATTTTTCAAATGGTGTATTCTGTTTATGTCTGCTGCTCGATTGCTCCGCTTGCTCTGCAGCAATCATGAAAACAAGGGCAAAGTATTATACACATCATTTTATGTCCCTGACCAGTCCTAAGCAAAAACTGCAACTTAATACTGAGAAATCCTCTTTTGTTCATCCTCTTTATGTTCATCAAATATAGATACCATGCCTATAGCTACAAACATAAACAATTCTATCCACTCTTGTCCCACCCTTCTGTGTTCATGTTAGGGAGGACAGCAATTATTGCTTGGAGCTTAATCATAATATGAGAAGAACATGCTATGCTGAATAATGAGACTAAACAGTGATTATAGTTAATAATTTTCTTACAATCTCCTGCATTTCCTTTGTTGTTCAAGCCATTTCCTCTTCAGTCTTGGTACAATATAAGAGGCTTGGTCCTCTCTTCTTAATGCCCACAAATCTTTATCTTCCAAGGGTCTTTTATAACCAGTGTTAATTATCCTGTGATGCACATTAGATGCAAAAAAAGAAGTTTATATTATTAAAACAGGTAGTTTTTGGATTACATTACATATAAGATTTACTCAGTCAGAGGTACTTATATGACAGAGTTCAATTTGGAATTTATTTACATGTCATGAGTGCTTGTCAAAGAAGTATCAAAATTGCATGAGCTCATAGGGTTAGTAATTTAAAAGGGCAAACATGAACGTAATTTTATTTATTAATTTTTAGTATCTAGAAAAGTGCTGAAAGGATGAACGGCTTTTTTGACCTCTAAAATTATAACAGAAGTTGGAAGACTACTAAGCAGCTCTAGCAATAAACCAAGAATGTGTCTGATGTATATTCAAAGATGAAATGTCCAGCAGGATAAGCAGCTAGATTGAGAAATATGTTCAATGTAGATGCTACAAAATGAAAATGTATAATGTCATATAATTTTTTAATTTAAAAATGACAAGTTGGTAAAAAGAAACTTTGAATATTTTCTCACCAGTTTAACCACCAGAAAGTAAGTAAAGAAAAGTAGTTGGCTTTTTCCTGAGGATTTTGCTCCTATAGCAATAAAAACAGAGACAAATTTATCGCATCAGTTACTGATAACATAATAATAAAAATTTTTACAGCTAAAATAAGCATAACAGCTTTCTGGTCTCCCCTCAGGTCTTTCTATATTTTTGGCTTTGTACAACTTCAGACCTTTTCCAAAAATGAATACTGCAAAACAACAGGGGTACAGTTATCACCTATATTTTTTAAAACAGTCACACACAGCCCGGGGGGGGGGGGGGTCCCCCCTAGGGGGGCTTATACGGGGGGGGGCGGCTTGAAGGGTTCTTCCTGGTTTATAAAAGGGGGGGGTTTTCCCAATTTGAAGGAAGGGAAGGGAAAGAAAACCCGCCCTTTTTGCCTTTAAAAAAGGGGCCAAAAGTGCAAACTGATACTTTTCC